AGCAACTCCATCTACACCGTTACATTTTTGGAATACATTCAACTTTTTTTTTTTTTAAGAATGAAAGAAAAAAGTACACAAATGCACTTCACATGGTGGCAACTAAAAAAAGTTTTCAAACAAACGAACAAAAATAGTAGCAGCCCCAAGTGCTCTTCCTTTTGTAGTCCAATACTTTGTTTATATTCATAGATTCATATATAATCATATATAACATTAAAAGAAAAAATAAATCACCATCATTGTCGTCGACAACAACAATGAACAAGTAACAAAATATACAAACATTTTGTGCACTGCTGAGTGCACTTGCACAGTTTGTTGCGATCTTTTTTTTTTTTTTTTCAGCCAGAAATAGTCAAAACCTCAGTCACTCGCGAGCAAGAGTGGACAGAAAGGCAATGTTAGGTCACATCCTCCAAATATCAAACATTTTTCATCCAAGCATCCCCAGGCTACAATAAAACTGTACAGAGATAGGCTCTTGGTTCATAAGCATGGGAGGCATGTGGGGGCGGAGCCTTCCAAAGGAAACCACGCCCCTTTGCTAAAAAATAATGTCTCAATGGCAGCAATGAAGTCTAATCATTCGCCCTTTAGTTCTTAGGCACACATGTGGGGACAGAAAAACACCACACACACGAAGCAACGTACGTACCACAAGTAACCATTTCCTAAAGGTATACAAGATTGAGCTCTTCAACAACACACAAACAAAACAATGCTGCTAATAACATGTTCTTAAACCTCACAGAGGCAAAGATGAGGCAGGAAAAGACATCTCTTGCACTCCCTACCATGAAAACTAAGAGTGCTGGTTGGCGTAAAATGGGCTAAAGCTTTTGTGTTTGAAGCTAGAGGTCTTTCTTTGTTGGGGAATTGAAGGGCTGGTGAAAGAGGATGTGTTGTGCCGATGCCCCCCTCTCTCTGTCTTTCTTTCTTTCATTTGTTCGCTCACATACTGCACATTTACAAGAGGAGTAATACACACAGTTCCTCTTGCACACAAGCATTCACATTCACACATTCGGTTCATTCAAAAAAGAAAAGAAAAATCACTCTGAATGACGAAATGGCCTCTTTTGATCATACGTCTAAGTAAGCGATTTAAAAAAAATACATTGTGCAGACTGGTATGTTTTAAACGCTCACGCGCGCACTCTCTCATTTTCATCTCGAACAAACATGCGTGTATAGACATACACACACAGGCACACAATCACAAAAATATTCATCTCTATTATATCTAACGCATTTTTTTAAAAATCTTTTTAACTTGCATTTTATGCGAGTGCAAATCTTCAAGTTTTATAATCAAAGTTTTTTTTATGATAGCTTTACATTTTTAATAGAAACTTTATATATATGTATATAAAAAACAACAGTGTTTGTCTTTAAAGAGAGGATTTGTTTTTCTGATAATGTCTGAACTGAAACACGCAATGGTCCCCCAATCGCCACCATTTCCTCCCAGCACAAACTCCAGTTCTGTTTCAACACACAGACACACACACACACACAGTATATATATGTGGTAACATTTCTGAAGCATACCACATAAATATACAAGTAAATCTTCTCGAAAAAGAAAAAAAGGAAAAAAACCTCTATCTTAATAAAGTGCATTAGTCTGAGTGTAAGGTGCTTAATGCGGTAAGTGCCAGAACT